TTTCGCTTTCTGGGTCAAAACTACTCGAATTTCCTCACTCACGTTGTTACGACTGAATCGACTTTTCAATTCTCTATCCAACGATGCCAAAACGATTTCTGTGGCTCGAATGGTTCTTGAGAAACTTCGAAAAAAGCAGCGTCCTATTCAAGTGGATTTTGCAACTCAAAAAAAAAACACGCAAATCTAAAACTTTTTGAATTCAAGGATTTTTTGAGAAAACTGCCAACATTTCCCCATCCATGGTTCACTTTCTAAAAAGGTCATTTATTTCTGTCTAGAATGATGTAAAAACGACCGTTCTTGCTCATTTTGCTTCCGAGAAACATGCAGAACGGGACAGAAAACATGCAATTTTGCAATAATCTTGCGCCACCTTTGCACAAAACGATGATCATTTTTCTAATTTCATAAACAACAGAAAACTGTCCATTTTTTCTACCATGACTTTAAAGCTGGATCCGCCCCTGGATCTACTCGGAATGTATATCGCAACACCCTGTATATGTTCGCAGATATTCGTTTAATGTTCAATTTGAGGTTTTTGTTTGATGTAAAATTCGTGTCAGGGGATTGGTAGGGAAGGAAATAAGTATAAATAAAAGTTGCTTTGTGTGAAGTTTTTCGAAAATGTATCTGATTTTTTACAAAGTGAATGAAGCAAAAATGGCGTTAAATTTTTCAGGCGTGTTTTTTAAGCTCAATCGATTCCTCTCGGCGTAAGAATTTTACAAATATGCATTTATAAAGTGTTTGGGTCCATAATAAGGAATAAATCGTCGGCTAAAATGTGCCGAAAATGTCTTTTATTTTGAATCTGAAACTTCTAGCATATTTTTCAATGAGTTCGATGCATTCCTCGCGCCTGTGAGCTGAAAATGATGTAAAATTTAAGACATTTTGAGAAAATTTTGTCAAAAAATCGAGCTTCACCTTTGGAAAAAATTCGGCCAAAAATCACATGCGTGTTCTTTGAGCTCAATCGATCCCTTTCGACGTAAGAAGGTCACAAACATACATTTACAAAGTGTTTGAGTCAATAATAAGGAATAAACCGTCGGCTTAAAATCCTGAACTCTCCAAAATCGCTTAAAATCTACCGAAAATTGTATTTTCCTGAAACCTCTAGAAGAAAACGCTCACTAAAGCGCAGGTGGGGCTAAAGCATGCGATATGTTGGCGCAAATCAGCAATTTAAAAAATCGCTCCATGTTAAAACCCGAAGGTTCTCTTTAAACTTTCTAATCCTCCTCTCCTTTAAAGATTTCAAACTCCAGTTTGAACTTGCAAAATGATTTCTTCCATCCCTCGTTCAACTATACTCACCCTGTAGACGAGCTACTGATCGATAGGCACACGACTGCGCCATTGCCTAGAGAAGCAACGCCTAAACTCGGAACTTTCACACCATAAGCCATGGAATAACAAAACAGAGAACCATTCCGCTTCTATAGACTTGAAAGTCTAAATGCCACCATTCTTGTCCTTTTCTACCGGATGGCCAAAAACGATCCGACAATCGAAACGAGCACCAAACAAGGAACGTGAATGAATAAGTTGTTCTCAGTCGAGCAGTGTGAGTCGCAAAGCAAAGTGATCGGAGTGTTTTGGAATTTTTTGGAACCAAAAAAACCGGTTTTTTCGAAAATATTGAACCATGGCCACTAACCGAGCAACCAAGAGCGGATTCGCTGCCGAAGCCCAAAGAAAAGTAAGAATTTTCAAGTTGTTAGTTGCGCGTTTTCTTCGAATCTATTTTTGTTTGGTCTTAGCGGTCAATTTTTACCGGCCAAAGAAGAATGTGACCGGTGGCTTCAACAGGTGCTCTATCGGCCTCCAAATGTTGGTTTAATGACTTTTTGTAATTTCCGGCAAATGCCAGCCGAGTCTTTTGTCTGGTAAAGGGTGCTTTATATACTTGATCATTCACTTGGGGTTTAGTCTACCATGAAGGGCGCTCAGCACCTCGCTTTAAATTGCTTTGAAGTAGCAGACATTTCCGTTACCTTTTCCCCAGCCTATCAATGGATTTTGCCAATTGCGATTTTATTCAAAAAGAAAAGACCCACAAAACTTTTAAGTGCAGAGGTCAAACAGCTCGCGCATTTTTTCTTTGCCTGCTTTTACCGCTTTACTTTCCCAATGTCCCTTTGAGGTTTGAGATTGCAGTTCTTGTCTTTATCATTATTTAGCCCCGAAGGGGTTTGAACCGTTCGTTTCGAAAGATTCTCTGACTCAAAAGCACGTTTTGTCAATTCGTGTTTTTTGGCCACCCTGTATGCGGTTTTGCAATAAGAACGCAGTTAAAAACCCAAAAATTTGAAATTTAGTCCACCCCACATATAAAGAAAGTTTCTAAGCCACTCTATGTTGAAGGGGAGGAGCTATTGAAAAAAGGCCTGCACGATTCCCCGATTTAACATGCAGAGATTTTTCTAAATTACTTACCTTAACCTACCACTTGCCACCATCAGATGTGAAAATATACAGGGAGATGCATATCAGTTGGTTTAAGAGGAGGAATGTTTTCTTTGTGATTCTTATACAGAGTGTTTGTGGAAAAATAACCACAACTTGACCTGCCTGCATCAGAACTTGCTTATTAGGTAAAATGGCCAAAAAATTGGCCATATTTATATTGCAATCATCTGTTTTACCACTTACCTCTCCATAATTTGCCACTTCAGAAGATTGCTACCATTTAAGGTACTGGCTTATTATACTGACACAGATTTCAAGGGAGGGGACAAGGTACCATACATGTTAATGTTGCCAGTACTTGCAGTTTCGTTCAATTGAAGCTAAACGGTTGAAGTGAATTTGGTGTTGAAAAATGTCCGCTGAAGTGTGTAGAGCCACCAAGAGCGGCCTGGCTGCTGAGACTCAAAGAAGAGTAAGACCGTTTTTTCTCTAGCTTTTAATTGGCTAATTGCGACCAAATAGTTTGCGGTTTTGGTGATTAGGAAAATTTTGCGGGTTCGGATCTACATACAGATATCCTGTTGAAATCGACCTCAGCTGACCTCAAACCGAAAAAACTGCGGTCTGGCATTCTTAAAAATTGCACGGTTGGAAGAATCGCAGACCCAAGAAAACAAGTGGCTTATTATTAGCTGGTTTTTATGTTTTACAAACGTTCAATTTCCTAGCCACCTTCAGCTAGTTGACTGTTTAGAAACTTCATTTGTTTGCATTTATTTGTACATTTGATTTTTTCCTCCAGTCCTAATGAATGCATTTACGCCATTGTTCTCTACAAATCATTAATCATAATTGTCGATTCAACTCTAAACTGATTAACCGATGTGACTTTCTGGAAGTTTGCAAAAAAACGAAATTCTAGCAAAGTAAAACCCCAGCAAAGCCAAGGCAGACAAGATCCGAATTCACCATAAACAAGCTAACAACAGGTTTATCAAAAATTTGCAAACAACACCATAAAAGGCCGTGAGAGTCCTCGTTGTAATGGACCTTGGCCCCGTATTCCCTTTTCTTGCATTAATTTCCACTGAGCAATTTACAAGTATAATCAGCTTGGATAAGACCTAATAATGTGCTTGCGGATTGCGTTGCATTCCTGATGCAAATTGCCCCCGTTTGTGCGATCTGATGTTCATTTGGTCACCGAAAACCGCAGGATAATCTGGGAGTAAAGCGACAATGACGAAAACTAAGACAAACAAGCAACAAAGTCGGCAGGAAATTTAAACATTCTTAATTATAATCAACAAATTGTGAAACTTCAATGTGTGCCGCAGCAACATTAGAACGGGCGATGATGCTTCCAACCGGCAAATGAAAAACATCGTTTATTTTGTAACGGAAAAGTAAATAATGATTATTTGCGATTAAGTCATGAATTATTTTTAACAGTGTCGTTAGACTTCGAATGGGTTGTTGAACAATTAGACGGAATTTTATAATTTATTCACACCTAAAGCGGCCGGTTTATGCATTTGAATAAGTAAAATGCTGTTTGTTGATTCCGAATGATTAACAGACGTTCATCCTGTTTAGTCGAATAATTTTCAAAGGTTTTGAGGAATATTTGTCTCACTGATTTCGTATTCCAAATTAAATCGACTTGTAATGTATTGTAAAATCGCTCTTCAAACTGGTTTTTATCAGATACTTTGCCTATTAACCGCAATAGGCAACTTGGTTCAAAAATAGCAATTAACAATAACTCCACTGTAAAATGTCTGTTAAAAATGATTCATTTCTATGAGTTTGTTGGTTGATTTCTAAAACATCTCACAAACTATGATGTCATTGATTAAACATTTGGTATTAAGGATGCGTAAAGAGAAGATAAATCATATTTGGTTCGTTGAAATTCATCAGGATTTTGTATGGGATCATTCTAGATTTTACATCAGTAATCAGTATTTGGGCAACGTTAAATGATTGTCCGGAGACTGAGAAGTAGAATTTCACAATTATCAGTCTCGTTTATACAAAATGTGTTGATGACATCAGAATAAGTGAAATTTGCCACTAATGAGCGGTCCTGAAAAGAAGTGACCTCAAAAAACGTTTTTTAATAAACATGTTCTGCGTGCAGAAGAAGTAAATGGAATTGGCAAAGAAGAATAAACAACTGTTCTTCTTGGCGTGTGATTTGATTCTAGTTTGAAGAAGTCAATGTCGATCGAATTGATTTTTGGTTTTGGGCATTTGGTTCAAAACCCAATTTAATAAGGAACAAATATTTGAACCTAACAAAAACCAACAGAAATATTTATGAATAAACACACTGAGGCCAAAAATCTGCTTTTTAAACTCTTTTGGCAATTGAAAAATTGCTTTGTATTTTTGAAGTTGCAAATTTTATCTTCAGTGGCTCCAAAAAATACCCGGAAGTCAACATTAAAATTTTATACTAAATGTAAGGCAGTAGACTGAAGTAGCGCGGAACTGAACAGCGCCGAACAAAAACGCGAGATGAATTAGTAAATCCAACAGATGGTTTACTATTAATTAAAAAAATATTGTTGTAGTAATTTGCAATTTGGAATAAAAATCAAACTTTAACGGGCAATTAGCTCTTTGATGGCTGTAGAAGAATCAAACTTTCTGCGCTAATGTTAACACCCTAAAATGTATAGAATTTCAAATGTTCTCAAAAACTTCAACCAGAGATTGAAGCCAACCGTAAGCCCGAAAATGCGACGGTAAATTGCAAAATTTATTGACGTTAAGTATTTTAGTTGAGAGCCGTGATTTCTGTGGCAAACTTGCATCTCGAACTGCCAAAAATATGCGAAAGTAAACTGGAACTTTTTCTACAAATTTCGAACTCAAATTGAGAATATTTGGTCTAAAAATCCGATGGATTTAAGGCGTAAATTTTGGATAAGAATCGTAATTTCGTTGTGAAACTCGCAATCCCAACTTCGAACTATACATACAGACTGAGCTCGAATATGCGACGAAAAACTGAAAGTTGAACTTTGATTTGTTTTTAAAATTGTCAGTTTCTTCAGCACAAGTTTCAAGTCGCCGAATTTAGTTCAAAGTCGTAATTTCTATCGAAAATATGTGGATTCTAACGCGAAATATGTTGAAATGTATTTTTTTCTTGTTGTTTTTTGTTAGAACCTAAAGTTGACCAAAAACTTGCAATTTCGGCATTCAGCTTGAGGTTTGTCGCAAGAATCGGCTTTTTTGTAAAACTCCATAAATTCAAAATTGTTGCCGAAAGCTAGAAATTTTAAGCTTTTTGCAAAGGTTTTAAGTCGAGATTCTAGTTAAAAGTCGTAAAATCTCTGTGAAACTCGCAACCATTTTTCCAACTAAACATCTGGCTTCTGAACTCAGATATGTGACGGACAATTTAGAATTTTAGGTTCAAATTTGTTGAAAGCTGAAGGTTTGGTTTATAACCGACAAGTTCATTTTTAATCTCAAAATAGTGACGCTAAATTGAACATTTTAGCTTTCGGCACCAGCGTCAAGTCTGAGAGTATAGTTTAAACTCGTAAGTTCTTTGTGAAACTCGCAATTCCGACCTCGAGCAGTCAAGTTTCTCTTTAAAATGTGATTCAAGTCGAATTTTATTTTTAGAACCCAAAAATGTCGTCAAAATCGTGTACCATTTTGGCTTTCAGTACCTGGCAGGTCACCGATTATAGCTAAGAGTCAGAATTTCTTTGGGAAACTCGAAAATGTGACGGTAAACTAAAAATGTCATCCTTAAATCCGAAAGCGTGACAATAAACTGGGGATTTTGCTTTAAAATGTCTAGTCAAATTAAGTCAATAACACCAAAAACATCAACTCAAAATTGTAAGACTCGACATTCCTACTTTTAATAAAATATGCGCACTCCAAACCCGAACAACTGCAGGTAAAGTGAACATTTCACTTCCAAATTTTTACTCAAAATGAGAGTATTTTTTGCTTGAAACTGGGAGCTTCTGTTTAAAACAGAAAATATCAACCTAAAGGTAGAAACTGTGACAGTAAACTTTTTAAATTCAAAAAGGATTTGGTTTTTAGCACGGGCTTATTACAGACCCTGTAAATTGTAAAATTTCCCTTGTTTACGGAAACTAATTTCGCACTTAAAGCTCTAAAGTTGTAAGGCGCAAAAATGGCTTTTACAGCACGTGAGGTTTAAAAGTTGCTTAAAAACTTTTAATTAAACTTTAAATGCTGCAGTTTTGCATAGTTTTAGTCAATTCATAAAACTTCAACCAGACATTGAAACAACCTCACAGATTAACGCCTAGTAGAAAACCTGATATTTTATCCATTTCCCAGTAGAAGTTGTTTTAAATAAATTGTTGATAATAATCAATGACCAAACAATTAGTGCAGTGTTAGCTAACCTTGCACTGTATTTGTTTTACTTATCAGGTGGAAAGTACATTATTTTGTTGTCACTTGTTCGAAGTTTGTCGTATTTGCTTAGTTCGTGAATTCTGCAAACACTCAACTAATGCAGGGCAAACAACTTGGCCTGGAAGTAATAGAAAAATGGTGTTCTAGACGTTTTCCTAAACATTTTGAATCTATTATGCCAGTCACAAACTCCAACGGCCTTTAACGTAACAGTCGAGCTTCCTTTGAATGCAAACGAAAATCGAACCTAGAGGAAATGATTATAATAAATTTAAATACTAGCTTAATTTTTTTAATGAGTTGCATTTGAGGCCAGGGGCGTCCCAAATGGGGTCTGGGATCGCTCTTTCTTAGCTTGCCGTATTTACTATGTTTAGCTCAATTTTAAGCTGTGTTTTGGTGGTTTGCGAAATGTGGGGCTCGTGACCATCTGGCAATGATCTGCAGCTAATAGAATTGAAAAAGTGTTACTTAACCTTTAGCGTTTTTAGCAAATCGTGCCACATTCCGTTTATGGAGTTGCACTTACTCTGTTTCGAGAACGGTTTTAGAAGCCCACGGGCGCTGTGCCATCTGTTTCACTTTAACAGCTCTTAATTCGTTTAGAACCATATTAACTACACTGTGTATAGTGTTTTGTTTAGATTGCAGCCCGTATATAGCGAATAATTAATGTTGAGTGTCTAGTCGTGCATGCCCAAATTCCTGGCGTTAGTGAGAAAAAAAATGAAATTCTCATACTTGGGTGCTTCGTTTCCACTGGCAATTATTCACTTTTAGGTCAGTGGACTTGTGTGCATAAATTTGCTCGATTTTCACTCACACCTTGTTTTTGTAAAGAAAAAACGCCTCTTGCCAAGCTTTTCACGAGTGCTTTAGCACAATTTCAGAGTCCAGTGGACTTGTGATGATAATCAACCTAATTGGATCATAAGTGCAACCGATAGATCAATTTCGCCATTTAACTAATTGACCTTTAACAAGGTGATATCAGTTTGTTCCATATTCTGGACGTCGGTTACAAAGGAAAATCAGCAAGAAAATCATCCAATTTCGTTCAATATTGCTCAAGTCAAGGTCTAGTCCAGCCGCGCTAAAAACATGTTTACCAAACCTACCCTAAAGTTGTCGCCTGGAAATTTATCCCGCTTTCTATCGATTTTCCTGGCCCAGTTTCAGCAGCTGCAATATCTGGACCGATGCGTTGCATCATTTAACAAACAAGGCTCAATCCGCATTAATCAACCAAGATGAAGCTTTATTGTCGGTTTTATCGGCGTTTAAACAACGCAATAATAATAGCAATTTTTGTCCGCTTCTATACGCTCAGAAGCTAATGATGTTGAGTCAATCAGCCCCAACCAATGTGAAAAGCGAACAGAAGAATTTAATCGTGAATATTCTCTCAGTCGGTTAACCGATTTTTTTCTCGAATCATTCCTCTATTTTTTGCGCAAAATTGGAGTCTTAAAATATGCATGAAAAATGAAATACTCTTATTGTACCGGGTGTTTGAATAGTGTCATGTTTTATTGGTCAAAATCGCTAAATCTACTAGGTTTTTTTATTTGCTAAGACAATGTGTGCCAAAAAGGCTGTGCGAGCATTTCATTACAAGTTGATGGCTCTGTTTACTTTGTTATTCTCTGCGTAAGCCCCTACTCGCACCTTATTAGAAGTTATGAATTTTTCTCCAAGGGTTGCAGTTACGTGAAACGTTCATTTATAGACCAACTTCTACGAAGGGCGCAAAAATCGCCATCCCATGCGAATTGCAGGAAATTCTGACGGGTTTTAGGTTCGAGTGTTTTCTTTAGACTGGAAAAAGTTGAGGTCTCTACTCGCTTTGCATTAAAAGCTAGGGATTTTTATTAGTGAGCTTGCAGACGCGCGAGAGCGTCCATTTTCAGATCAACATTTACAACGAGCGCAAGAAGCAGCATCTGATACGGATTAAGTAAAATTTAGAGTGTTTAGAATGGTGCCTTCTATCGATTGGGAAATGTTCAAGCCCCTCTGGATTAAAAGTTAAGAATTTTTATTCAAGAGCTTGCAATGGCATGAGAACCTTAATTTTTAGTCCAACATTTGTGAAACGCCCAAACATCATCATCTCGTGCGAATTTAATGAACTTCTGTGGGTTTTTAGGCTCAAGCGTCGCCTTCAGACTAAAAATTTGCTCTGGACTAGAAATTAGGACTTTCAATTTTTTTTCCACATATTCAGACCTGTGTGAACAACCATCTGATGCGGATTATGTAAAGCTTAGAGGGTTTTTAAGATGAAGTGTCTTCTATAGATTGTAAAAATCAAGTCCCTACTCGCTCTGCATTAGATGATAGTTTTTTTTTTTAATTTTTTAACTATTTAATTCTCTCGGAACTTTCAAGATCTGCTTCTAATTCAGTGGTAAATCTTGGTCAAATAAGGCAACCTCGAGAGTCGCGCATACCAAAAGCCGTTTAATTCTGCTAATTCGTCTGCATTGAATGTATAAATAAAAGACGATTTTTGTGTATTTTTTATGCTCATCTGCGACCGAAGCCTCTAAACTTTTGCATCTGATTCAGCATTGAGCCTCAAGTCTTCAGCCATCAGAGCTTGCAACCCAATTTCACTTTCTCCCCTTGCTTCGGTTGTTTTAGCGAATAATTTGAACATGACTGGCTTCTCGACAATGCATATTTTCCACGTTATGTTCCATTCAACTGCCATGTTGATTTATTTCGAAATCGATAAGTGCGTAGGCTGTGGTCATTCGTCTGGTGCTAATAACTCTTCGGGGAACGGCCGCGTGTTTTTCTCTTATTTTTTTCTTCGGCTTCCTAATTTGTAAAACTATACGCTAACTGGTCTAGGCAGCTTGGACTTGTGCATGTTACTTCAAGGTGGGTCGCAGCCCCAACCAGACGGTTAATCATTATGTTAACAGCCGAAACCGTCGTCAGAATAAATCGTTAAAAATGGGGCTAGTTGATTAAGAATGAGTGTCTCCAGCTGTAAGTGACGCGATTTGTTGATCAGGTAAAAAATCGCATTCAGATAGACATTCATTTGTTCAGAACGTTCAATTAATTTATCTAATGGAACGTAAGTTCCTCTGGTTACCATAGAAGGAAAGCAGGTGAAATCGAGCAAACTCGTGTCTGGAATTGTTTGCGGTAAAACACTTTTTATTGGGCCATCGCCGCCAGACCTGATCAATATCTAATGCTACAACCCGTATTTAAAGAAGTTGTTTTCTTGCAGGTTAATGCCAAATATAGCGAAGAATTAGCTTCGGAAAGTTTAGAATGGATCAAAGGCGTGACTGGGGAGAACTTGAACACTGCTGGAGACATGGACAACTTCTACGAGGTTTTAAAGGACGGCACTATTCTATGCAAGTGAGTATCTGCAGTTTTCCATTAAACCTAAAAAATCCTCCTCGACTTTTCCTTCTATGTCTTCTAGTCCACCCATAAAACCACATGCCTGGGAAAGAAAGCCTCCACACCAATGTATTCCATTTCTGATAATTGCCCACGAATCACTGAATTGCGTGACACTCTGTATAACATTCCATGGACATTTACACGGTTGAATGAGTCATTTTTCCATATAAGACGATCGATTTCGCGCACAGCATATGCGGTAACTGCAAATGATGTCACCGATTAAAAACTGGTCATGGTCATTCTCTGAGAAGATAAAAGTGTTTTTAACGGAAATTGATGACTCTTGGTCATACTGTTCGTCTGTGGTGGTTCACAGATGGAGATTTTTTTTAATTACGCGAAATTATCATAAAAATATGCCAATGCTTGCTGGGTGTCCATAGGAAATGTGTCTGCGTGGATGCATTTCTGTTAATCTATGTTCCATTTTGAGGACAGTCTGACCAATCCACACTTCAATGGTCTGGATCTTCCAATATGAACAAGTGAAAAAATTTCCATCTGTTTTGGCTTCTGAATGGTTCCCATTGTTCATTTAACGCAAAAACCTTCTGGATCCCATATGGAATGCACAAATAAACAATGGTTTTGCAGGAAAAAAATATTGAATAAGTATGCGATTCGACAAATTTAGATCGATTATCAGGCTCAATTTTGTCTATTAAACATATGATGCATTCATTTGGTTATATTTGCTTCATCCATATCTAAACCTTCTGAATCTTCCAATCCAACATGTACAAATGAAGAAAATTGCTTAGCAAAAGAGGTTCAAATGAACCAGAAGGTGCTGGAAGAATCAGTGGATGCAACTTTGCCTTGTAAAAAAGCGTACTGAAGTGGAAGATGGACCTTTTCGTCATCTTCAGTCATATATTTCTATTCCCGAATAGTCAACCTAAATGGACTGTTTATTTAGCTACACTCGCGTCTAAAAATACATGATCATTTCACATTTAACCAGAATAATACGTGCCTGATACCAACAGCGCTAAAAACCAATTATTTATCAAACTAAAGCTGTCATCGTTTATCGAACTGATGCCATGGAATGTTTTACGATGTGTGTCAGGCTTTAGATAACGTAAATTTGTTAGAGTTCTAATTGCACATCGGTAACAGGCTTTCATTCATTAATCTAATTCGATTTCAGATTAGCCAACGCAATCCAGGCTGGATCAGTAAAGAAAATCAACACCAGTCAAATGGCATTTAAATGTATGGAAAATATCAATGCGTTCCTTGAAGCGGCCAGAAACTTTGGAGTGCCAGCCCAAGAGACGTTCCAGACGGTGGACCTTTGGGAGAGACAGAACCTGAACTCTGTAGTCATCTGTTTGCAGAGTTTAGGGCGAAAAGTTAGTTCCTAAATCAGTTTCAATTGGGCCAGTTTGGATGGTATATGGTCTAACTTAGCGTTGAATTTGCCACTAATTTGACTAACTCCTCCACATCTTCTAACAAGGGCGAATAAAAAAATGCATGCGTACTTTTATTTTCCTTCAATGTCTGTTTTTGTCTTGCACTAATTGGTCTTAACCTATGGACTATCAGTCGAAATACACCAGTTTCCACTTATCGGGCAATAAAACATCCACAATTTGTTTTTCATCGTTTGCTATCGCAATCGGGTTCTGATAACGGTTATTTTTTCGTTTTTATAGACTTTATATGTTTTTCCATGTTTTGATGCGGCTGGATTATAAGTGAGTTTTTCCAGAGGTTCTATGCATGATGAGAACATTTTCTGTCCAGGAACACAAAAGCTCAACAATTTTTATGAATTCACATTATTTCTGGAAATTATCTGGAACGAGCGTAATAATTACAAAATGTTTAACACAGTAAACAAGCTTTAATTTGCGTATGCAACCCGTTCCACATCCGTTTAATCGCGCTTGTATTTTCTTTATTTGTTCGATTGCTTCAATTTAGATCCAGATCATTTTGGCCGGCAAGAAATCGACATTATCGATTATCCAAACATTGCGCCAATAAAACAGGTAATTGTGGCGAATTGAATTTATCGAAAAAAACACGTTAGCTCCATAAATGAGTAAAATTTATTGCTGATTGATGAGAACGCCGAAACTTTATTTTATTATTATTTTGTTACAGTTTTTACCACGAGTTTGTGCTGCTCATGTTTTGCTATCAGATACTTTAAAGGCATTTGAACCGAACTTTCGGATTCTTTCCGTTTAACGACATTGCAGATTTTTAATTAAATTATTCCGAAGAAACCGACAACATAATTGTTCAAATCAAAATATATTTTTGAGTCAAAATATCAGTTTTGATTCATTTTGGTTGGAATTTATTAGTGTTTTCTGTTCGTTTAGGAAGTAAATTGTTCCAAGGAAATAAAAATTTATGAAAATTTAATAAACAATCTACGCGGAAATAAAGCGCTAGAAATCGGGTCTGCTGTATTACTGTATATTAAAACTTGAATGTACCGGGCGTCCCAAATACGAAGGACTAGCATGGGCACTTTAAAACCCACAATCGATGGGAAAAGTTGAATAAATAGATTTAAACAGTTTTTTTTTATTAAAAATTTTAAATTCAGTTTTCGGAAAAAAGTTGTTTTCCACTTGAAATGTTTTCAATAATTTTTGCTGGAATTTATGGTATTCTCCGTCCGTTTCGAAGGTAAATCGTGCTCAATCGAAAGTTTAGTAAATAATCTACATGGATTCCATATTAAAAGTTGAATATACATTGTGTCCCAATACGAAAGGCTAAAATGCACACTTTAGATGCTATAAATGATTATAAACTGTGGATTAATGGGAACAAATGGCGCCGTTTTTTGCTATGAGTCTTAGAGTAAAAAAGATAAAACTTTTGCCAACTACATTTCCTTGCAGTACACGATAGGATTTTTTCAATTATTCGGTAGACAGTTTTGATGCGCTATAAAATTGCCATAATTTAATTTTGTTTACTCTTGAAGTTCGTTTTTAATTAAATAATTTGTTTGTTGTTTATTCCTAATATAGCAAAAGGTATTCGATTGGTTAAAATTGAGCAAATGTTTAAAAAAGTGGTAAAAACCACTTTCAAATTACATCTTACACTGTAAGAGAAATCGTATAAAATGCAGGTTTGTTTTCACAATTTGTTTGCAACTAATTTTTTAAAAAGCCCGTCGAAAGCTAACTAAGAAGGAAGTGAGTTGTTTGCTCCTGCCAAAAACAGGGCCGCATTTAGGAAAGAAAACTGCTCTTCAGGTTGACTCAGATTTGCTACAAGAAAGTGTGGTAATCTAGTATTCAGGCAACCGAAAAATCATCACTACCATAAATTTGTCACTCGCTTATCTAAGATAACTGCAATTAATTGATGATTAAACGAACTAAATCTCACTGAAACTGTTGAGCTTTTTGGTGCTTATCGTAGTGAGTGAGTAAATTTTTGAAAAATCCGTTTTCCAGGCTGTGAAGTATGGAAAACCCGGCATCGGCCCTAAAGAAGCCGAGAAGAACGAGCGAGTTTTCTCCGAGGAAAAACTGCGAGCTGGACAAACCATCATCGGGCTCCAAATGGGCTCCAACAAGGGCGCCAATCAATCGGGAATCAATTTCGGCAACACCAGACATATGTAAATAATGCAACGAAATACCTTTATGTAATTGTAAGTCAATATTCGAACGTGTTTTGTTCGGAATCGAAAAAACTCTCTTGTAATCGACTGTTATCCGTAGATGACTTAGTAACGTCGCTGCTGTTCTCTAAGGGTATATTTATGAAAGTTATGTATAAGTTACATATATAAATACGTGTTTTCTTTGTCATTTTACCTTTGGAAATGATTCTTTATATATTTTATATAATTTTGAATGGTTTTTTCCTGAGGCCGCTACCTCAACTACGACATTCCACACAATGTCTGATTGCACGATCTGTTTTCTCATTTTTATAAGGGATATTTTAATATTATTTATTTTTGTTGGTGGCTTTGACAAAACGATTGTGCCTACTCGAAATATGTTTAAAAATTACTATTGGAACTGTTGAAAACTTTAGCCTTAATGGTATAGTTACATGTATTCGCGTGTTTCTCCTGTAGGACCAAGCTCTTGACTAGAAGAAATAAACTATTATTTTTTTCTAAGTTCTCGTTTTATTTCCGCCTCTAAATCAGCGATTAATCGACAGTGCTGATAAATTAGCTCAAGCTGTCGGCTTCATCCTGTCAGTTGGAAAGCGCGAGCTTTTCCAAACTAGTGGAAATGAGATACGGACATGTGCTTGATTAATGGCTYGCATAGGAAGCTATTTATTTCAAAAATTCAACTGGAAATGCCTCGAATATCGGCCAAGGGCTTGCCAATTTTTGCCYTTTTTTAGTATATTCTTTGAGTCTTTTTGGACGAGATGAACTTTGAAAGCTTTAAAAGTTTGTGGACCGAAAAGGCACGTTCCGAATACGGACAAAACATCCTGGGCTCCAGAGCTTCAAACACCTCTAAACCTTCCSAACYAGCTTTAAAGCGGATGATTAATTGTTGATAAATGCACATTTGCAAGTGCAAAGTGGCAAAAATGAGGTCGGTTTCGATTGGTTGAACCTATCGAAATGCGATAAAAACTCAACAAATTGTGAAATTTGAGCATCTAGAAAAGGCCTTTAAGTGACAAACACGATGATGAATGGCAAGTGCAAAGTGGCAAAAATKAGGTCGGTTTCGATTGGYTCAACCTATCAAATAAATGCGATGAAAACTCAACAAATTTTKAAATTTGAGCAYCTAGAAAAGGCCTTTAAGTGACAAACACGATGATGAATGGCWACCWTTCAACGATCAAAAGWATTGAAACTGTTAACTTGTGAGTCTCAGACACCTCACRCTTTTTAGATCAGAACCGAGTTCAGAAAAGCGTCAAATACAAGACTTAACGATTTTGCCATAGCTGATGATGAAAAACGGTTGTTTTTCGAGTCCAAATCAGTTTTTSAGCWMWCTGMAGTCTCCCTAAGCAGCGCATTCATTAATAAGTGCCGGGRGCTCGTTAGGTTGGGCCTCTATTCAATCTTCTAAAAATATCTCATACGGGCACTCAAATTAATCTTGAATTATAACCCGCATTAATAAAAGAAGCTCTTCAGCTGCCAAACACTGATCAATAGCCCATTGAGCAGCAAGTTGAAGTCAAACCCCAAATTAACTTTTAGCATAGAAAAACAACTGTTCATGCCACCTGGCACCTCTATCCAGTTTCTATCGACCAATGAATTTTGCATGAGAACTCCAACGGCAATGTTGCCGCTGAGGTTTCTTTTTTAGGACGAAGTCAACATTTTACTTATAGGCGTGCAAARTGCATTTTTGCTTTGAAGGTTGTTCCGAAGCGTTAATTGAACCTGGAGATTCATGGGTTTCATTTGTCTGAAGGAGAGCTGGGGATTGGAATGAGGCGCTCCAAAGCAACTGATCAGAAGATTGTGGTGCTTTATTTATATCTATTTCACGTTTATCAATCAATGATGATCTCTGAGAACTGAGCCAACATTTATTATTGCAGTTTATCCAATAGATCTAAAAATTACGTTGCCTTTTCATTAAGTTCAATGAGCACATTGAGAACATCCATGAAACAAATTGTTGAAACAAACTCAAAAAATAACTGCTTGTCTTTCAAATCCATCTTCTCCTTACATGGAAGGAGGATTTCTTTCATCCTCACTTTCCGTGCAAGACAGGATTATCTTGGCCCACAAGTGAAGACAGATAATTTTCAGGTCTCTGAGTTTTACAGACTCTTTCCCTCTTCCACAGTTTCTGACTCCCCGTCATTAACAATTATGTTGATCATCTGATAATATAAATTTGTCCATTGCATCCTTACGCCAAAGACAAGCAGGTCTGGACAAAACAGGCCGGAAGAAACTTTCTCCTGTTTACCCCAGTTGCTCTTCTATCAATAAATACAACAATTCTGGAACATAGATTGTAACAGATTTGTATGAGAAAATTGTTTCTTTGTTTTGGTTGTTTGCAACAAACTTTTTTGAGTTGGTTGGAAACTCAAAGAAGACTCACTTGTCTTCTAAAGGAGATTCTGGAACATGGAAGGGAATAAAGGCTTCTTCGTTCGTTTCCTTGTGAAAAAGTTAAATTATTTTTAATTGGCATCAAGTAAAAACATTCTCAGATCTCGAGTTTCACTAGCTTCTTTCATCTTCCATAGTATCTGACTCCACATCGTCAACAGCCTCAGTAGAAGGAGAGGCTTTTTCTGAAGGTTTAACATCTATTGCATCCACAATTTATTTTCCTGGAAAGCCTTGGTTTTCATATTGGAACCTTAGGCTAAGCACGCTAAGCTTCTGTTGCAGATTTGTATAAGAAAACATTGTTTCTTTGGGGTCCACTTCAAACAAAGCCACTTAAACTGAGAGAAACACTCACCTAAAAACGCTCACTGCATTGCCAATCTAAATGAAAAGTGCATGTAAATCCATCTCCAATGGTCCAAGAAGCCATTAACCAAAGTGGAAAACTGAATTTCCTATTAAAATATCATGCTTCTAGGTTTGCGGGACACAATATGGCATCGTCGGTAAACGAGTTTCCCGATTGTTTTCCCCCAGGCGAGAACATACATTTCAGTAGTTCTCCGGCTCCCTGTGAGGGAAATAGCGTCCCGTTCAACCTCCCCCTGGGGGGCGATACACGTTCCCCCCAAAAATGGGGAATGGAATGAACAAGGTAAGTGACGACGTTTTTATCGGCAGTTTTTCCGGCTCTGTCCATTGCATATGACGACTCAATCTGGCCAGTTTCTAGTCGGGGGTTTGTAGGGGAATTTCCTGCATTCCTGGCAGAGGAGTCTATTGTCTTTGCCTCAATTATTATACATAAAGCTGTTCAAGGCCACAAAATTTGAAACTTTCTTCGTGTGCCGACGACAGTGCTTTCTTCGCTCACAATCAACTTGTTTCCACTCAGTTTATTTATTTTCGGTATTTTGTCATTAAAGTCGACCTTAACCAATGTTGCACGCCTATGCGTGCAGAAAATTGTTTAAAGAGCAGGATCGTCTGGGGGTGTGCCATTTTTTCGCGGTTTCCGGTACTTTTCAGGTGTTTTCGTTGCGTCAGCTTGATGTTTTAAGCTCATCGTGTACTGGCAAAGCATGATAATGGCAAAAGTAGGCGAATTCTTCATCATTCCTCCCAAGTCAGTGATATTCGGCATGAAACAGGCAAGTTCGGTTGGATGACCTGCCATTCAGGTAGGCTGCGGAATGTTTGGTATTCTGTCGATGCAAGTCGAGAAATGTTTTCGGTTCAAGGAAGAATTTGGGTGCGACCACTGATAAAAATCTACCCAGCCTTTCCATTTTCATTACTGAAAATTCGCACAGCCGAAATAAATGAACGGGCACTTTCCAGGCATATTAATGTGGATCTAGAGAGTTCACCTACAAGAAACATGTTTACAGCGTTTGTTTAATTATGCCTTCATTAAATTCGAGCAAAGTCACAAGACTGGGTTACTTCGATAACACGCAAAATGGTAATTTTGCGGTTTTTTAACTTCCAAGCCAGTCTGGGCTCTATCAACAACACCCTTGCAAACTGGCCTTTATTTCAAAGGTTCTATCATCAGAATCGGGAACTTTCAACCCCTCTAATCCGGGTGATTCAAAATAAGGCCCTAAATAAAGTAGTTGATCAACTTCCTCCACCCTCATTAGCGAGCCGTTGTCTTTGGCAAGTTGTTCCCAACTCGTTCAAGAATACAAGTGGCGAAATGAAACGGTGCAACCTCGTTAAGGGCGCTTTCCATTTTCGATTTTTCCCGGCGAAAAGCTGCTTTAAATGGAAAGCACACATTTCCTCACATCCCGTTGATTGATTCAGTTCATGGTTTTGCTGCCGCCGCTTTGCTTCCAGAACATGTCGAGTATCAAGATTTTCTAACTCGCGATGAATGCTGATCGGTTTTTTCTTCGTTTCAGGTTTTACCGGGTCTTTACGTGGGAAATTATCGCGATTCCAAGGATTCGTCCCAACTAGCTAAACACAACATCACCCATATTCTTGCCATCCATGATACTGCTCGAAGAATACATTCGGTAAGTGAAAATTTAACCAATGAGATACTCAAAGCCCAGAGAGTAGGCTTTTTCTGGTGATAATTTGTTTTCATGGCATTGTTACAGCGTCATCCTTTTAATGTGGGCTTTACTTTCCATGCCCAAGGGAAATTAAATGGGCGATTGCTTCATGCGATATTTAGCGTAACAATTCTGACACATATGCCGCCCAGAATTAGCATTAGTTAGTCAACTAGGACAACTAAAATTTGTTTGTTTTAATGCGAAAAGCCACAGAGGCCTTGTCGCTTGGCCAATGGATGATTGCGGTTTGAATAATTACTTTTTCAGAATTCGGCCCTTGAAAAACATCATTAGTTTCAGGAAAACTGCATTATTCTTGAGGTTTCTTAATCCGTAAGTTTCAGCAGGAAGCTGATTTTAAAACAGCCGAAATAATCAGTAAGAGAGCTGAAAGTTGTAAATTTTGTTCCTCCTCCACTAGCTAGACTTTATTTTGGCATAAACATTGGGAAATAAAGGGAATAATTGAGTCCATGAAAGTTTAAGCGCGCTGCAAGCAAATTTATCGACAAGCAAGCTTTTAGTTTGGTCCTTCAACATCCTCATTGTTTTCTTCGAAAAACAGTAGTTGTTTGGGAGTTAAAGCTCTTTTAAGACACAGATTACGACTTAAAGTGCTTAACTTAAGTTTATAATAACATCTTGAAATGAACAGCTGAACTTTTCACCACTTTTGGTCAATTCTTTATGAACTTTAAACAATGACGAGTCTTACTAGTTTCACTCTTTATTCTAGAGCGAACCTTGAAACCAGCTAAAATTCCCCGTTTTTACACAATAACTTAAATCTCTTTCTAGACTTGCGCTGTCTTAATGCAAAAAAATAAATTACATTTTGCCAAGTTTGTATTTCTTAACCTTCCTTGAGTTTCAGGAACTTCAGCTATGAACCGAAAAAAAATGAAATCAAAGTAGACAATTATTTTTTATATGTTTAWATCTTTGGCTTCAAATTTTGCAACGTAAAACTTTATTATGTTTGTTAATACTTAAGACTCCCCTATGATGCCCCTTTGGTTCAACCAAAAAGATTYACTTTTATCCTAAAAGCTTCGGAACAGTTGCCGATAATTTATTATTCGCTTTTTTGAAGTTCTTTTATATTGTAAATAACTTTCGATACTAAACGTAAACTTTCTTTTTAAATGTTTTTGCTGTTTTCTTCTTAGAAACTCTTGCTTGGAAAGTTAATGAATCGACTCCGAAGCTTAGGAACAGATTAAAACTTAACTTTCGGGAAATTTAGCTCTGAGCTGAGAAAATACATAACAAGCAGGATTTCAAATTGGAACATTAAAAGTTTCCTTATCTTATTAATATTCGTTGCTGGAGGTGCTATCAACTGAAAATTCTATACAAGTTTATTAATATTTAAGAAACTGTCAAAGTTTCCACGGCACTTATGAGGAAAGTCATCACAGAGTTTGGAAAAAACATTCTAATTTTAATTCGCACAGCTTTGGATAGTTGTGTTTAGTCCAATTCATTTATATTGTAATTTATACAGTTAAATTTAAAAAGCACAATGGAGTGGATACCAATTATTAAATACAGCCGGAAATTATTATAAAACCGGATCAAGTAATTTACAATTTATTATAATTAATGACTCAAACTCATTTTGTTTTGAATCTAATTGGTTTTAATGCGTCCTAAACAGAGCGATCCAAATTTAAACGTCAATAACACAAGAAAATTAATATATACATTTTTCATCTATTATTTAGGAGGCTTCAGGATAACTTTTGCGCTACTAAAAAAAACTGAAGACACTGGCAAAATGCACTGTTTTCTTCACATAAAAGGTACTCTTAGTCAAAGGCTCTAATTTAAGCCATTTTAGAGAAAAGTGCCACTTAATAACTGAAAACATGAGAACAAAGTAAGAACTAAACAGCTCTGTTCTCACTTAATCCGAGGGAGCAAATAAATATTAACCCCAGTCAAAAAGCACATTTTGGTTTACTTTATGTAAGTAAAGAAGCAGAGAGTATTGGTAGAACATGTACAAAAGCTTGTAATTCTTCAGAGTTTTTGGGTGAACGTTTGGGTAATTCTCTATGGATTCTAGTGAAATGGAGCGAAATTTTCCGAAGCTTATTCATCAGCTAATATCAAAAAACGCACCAATTTGCGCAAATCGTTTTACAGTCACAAAGGAAACTTGCTTTAGAGGGTTTATACGAAAATTCATTTTGTTGGAAACTTTCGTGCTTTCGCCTTGAAAACTTTTCCGTCAATTTGCTAATGGGATGAAAAAATCTAACAGTTAACTTAATGACGCTGGAAATGGACTGTATACCTGATGAGGCTATCGCTTGGAAAACTTGTGCAAATCAGGCGTTTTATTGCAGAAATAAAAAATCTATCCGGCAGATCTACACAAATCAAATTCAACTGCGAAAAATGGCGTTTATGGATCGTTTTTCGGCATTAAAGCTTGCCGGATTATGAGCACGGTACTTAATCCAGAATTAAAACCGCTAGTAAATTCGAAATTGGCATCACTATACAGATTGTATGGGCCATAATTTTAATCTAGAACTAACAGGGGTTTTAGATCATTGATTTTCACTTACAAGGTAATAACTCTAATGTCGGCTTAACGATCCCCGTTCCAGAACTTGGTCGACTCACCGTTGTTTTGCTAGGAAGATTCAATGTAGTTATTCTAAAAGTGGGTTTATGCATTAGTGGCCAAAGAACAACCTCGATGGTGAGCGATGAAGATGAATCTCTTGCATAATGGACTATTCGAACTTTGAATTTAGGCAGAAACTGCCTAAACATTTGGCCAAGAGAAAGTCTTTGTTTAAACAGCGTCGTCTGAACTTACTTTCTCAATTACTTCATTTACTGTGTTAGGCTGCGTCTATCTGCTCACTCGTGACTATCACCTTCCTCACGCTCGTAAATTTCCCATTAATCATGATCCCTTAAATTCACAATTGTTGTGGTTGGTTACAGGATAAACACTATCTCTGCGTAATGGCCTCGGATACTCCAGATCAGAACCTGACTCAGTATTTTTCCCTTTGTAACGACTTCATTCATGCCGCCCGTCTGCGAGATGGAAACGTCCTTATTCACTGGTAAAGATCGCTTTATTCGCTTTTCCCACTAGAATAGTTGCTGATTCTTGTGCGTTGCAGTCTTGCTGGTATGTCCCGAAGTGTAACAGTGGCTGTGGCTTATATAATGTCCGTTACCACTTTGAACTGGAAAGATGCCCTCAAGGTGGTGCGAGCTGGCAGAAATGTGGCCAATCCCAATCTGGGCTTCCTCAAACAGCTGGAGGAGTTTGAGTGCACGCGGCTGATTGAGGTATTGAGTGTTTTGCCGCATTTTCACACTCAACTAATGTTTTTTTTCCTTCAGGAACGTCGAAGATTGAAGGAACGCTACCCCAGTTTGGCGTTGGTTTACAAGGACCAGGAGCAGTGCGCTCTCATGCTCAACAACTACGAAGAACTCTTGCAATCAAGAAGCATTTGTGAGGGAAATTGTGCCTTAGGAGAGACGTGCCCCAGTGGGTTGTGCAGGTAAAGTACCTCAGTCTAATTGAAGCTGAGTTATTTATGGTAGTAAAACTGCGATTTGTGGCCGATTTGCGTTCATTTAAAACATGCATAAGACCGATAATTGTTGATTTTCACTAAAATCGGTTGAACTCGTAGTAAATGGGTCTCGATTTGGATCTTTAAAGCAGTCGGGTTTTCGCTGTTTTCTGCAAGTTTCCAGCTTCTTGAGCGCTCGCTTGCAGCAAAAGACTAAGGAATTTCCAATCAATTTCAGAATGTATGTCGCTTTTACTTGCAGGTTTTTTTGGATTCTCCAATTAAATACTTTTAGCTAGTCAAAGTAGTCAAAAAGTTGCCCGACTATATATAGTCTTTTTGGGTATTTTGCCTCAAAAATTTGTGTCTTTAAATAAGACAGAATTTCCTCACG